TAAGTCTGGATCAGCTTTCAACGTTTTGTCCTTTGTATTTTCAATGTTGTGAGGTATTTCTGAGATTTCCTTTAATATGATTTTTTTTTTTTTTTTTTTGCCAGCATCACTTCCTTTGGGACGTTTTTGTCCCAACCACTTTACTCATTTATGTCAATAAATTTGCCTTCACTGAGTTCCTCTGGCTACATACCTAGAGTCTCTCTAATAGCAATAGTGTCAGCATTTGCTTAGTCTTCTGTTTCTCCTGTAACTGTTCACTTTCTATTTGAATTTCAATTCCAGCATTATTATTTTTAATTTCTTCCCTGTATTCCATCTTTGCTGGCTGCTTCCCTCTTTCACTTATCTTTACTTTTTTTTTTTAATTTTACATGGCTTATCACTGGGAGGTAAGGAAGTACAAAAGAAACTACATGCTTTGCTCTCTTTCTGTGAGCTGAATGACAGAGGTCCAGTGACTGGCCACCACCATACTTTTAAAGAAGTGATGTGACCGGTTGCTAATTACAATGTGCAATTTTTTTTTTTTTTTTTTTCAGGCATAGTTTCCCTCTGTCGCCCAGGGTGGAGTGCAGTGGCACAGTTATAGCTCACTGCACCCTCAAGCTCCTGGGCTCAAGTGATCCTCCTGCCTCGGCCTCCCGAGTAGCTGGGACTACAGGCACATGCTACCATGCCCAGTTAATTTTTTAACTTTTGTAGAAATGGGGTCTTGCTATGTTACCAGGCTGATCTCGAACTCCTGGCCTCAGGTAGTCCTCCTGCCTCTGCCTCCCAAATTGCTGAGATTACAATCATGAGCCACTGCGCCCTGCCAGCATCTATTAATTATGTAGTAGTTATTTACATAGTGATTTGTGGCCTGAAGAGTTGGCAAAGTTTGTACTTTATGCAATTATTCAGTTAATATGCCATGCTACCTGAAATTTGACCCTTGCCGTTGGGGAGAAATGGTGTTATTTAACTAAACCATGACAACTAAAATGCGTATATTGGAACTGTGGAAAATGAGGGCTTTCTATATTCATCTGTAGATGTTGGAAGCTTAGCATATTGAAAGGATGCTCAAATTGGAGTTGGGGGAGGCATCCCACCACATTGGTGACTAAATATAGGAACAGAAACATAGTCGATCCGCTTATAAGTCTTAGCAGCTTATAATCCTGTTTTGTGTGTTAATATCTCTTGTTGAAGAAGCAATAAAATTGTATTCATTGTTCTTAAGTTGTAAAGCCACCAGTAAGATACTCATTATTTACCTGGAGATCTAATAAATAAAGCAATAATTGACCGTAATTACATGATCTGTGATTGTAAGTAACAAAATTGGTTCAGACAATGAGGGTCTCACTTTAACAAGTAGGTATACTCCGAAAATCATCGTGTATGACACTCGATATGGTGAAGCTGTCTATATGAAAGAATTTGAGAATAATCCAAAATGCATTCATTTACTACCGAGTAGCTCTAATGTTGATCAAAAACGGTTGAAAAATAAATGCTTGTTTCTTCTCTGAATTCTGACATTTTTTATCTTTTAACCAGAGAGAAAATAATCAGGTGGTTGTGCTGATCCAAGAAATAAATTCAGTTTAAGGATATTTGTAAAAACAATATTAAAATCTTTCCATAATGGCAGGAAAGGGATTAGTACCATCTGTTTTTTTCAGAGTGACTAAGGCCAGTTTGACTCATATTCATGATCATTTCCTGAAAGTAGGCTTACTACATCCCAAGAGTGAAAAGAATGAAGAAATGATATCGGGAACACTTAGAAAGAATGGTAGAATGTACACTTTGACTTGTCGCTGTATGTATGGATTTGGACGCAGGCATCCTGGCTTCAGAGCCCTGGATCCGTCTGTTTAACTGTTGTATTTCTATGCTTCTCAACGACTAAGTCAGCCAGCTACAGATAGTAACGAAATGTTTGTTTTTGTGCATTTTTGAATTCTCTGTTAAATGTCATCATTCTTGGATTTGCATTTTAAAATCCGGTTAGGACCCAAAGCATTCTCAGGCTTTAATAATCACACTTTTTATGTTTTAAAATAACAAAATATTCCATAATTAATGTGAATAAAACTAAGTATGATATTTTTGATTACTAATGTAACATTTGAGTTTTAGAATAAAAATGGTTGCTTTAGTGAGCTTAAAGTTTAGATTTTTGCGGAATATTTCATAAAATTTAATTTATTACTGCTATAAGTATGGTATCTCTTTTAATGAATCACAATTATTTTTAATTATTAGTAAAATTTATTCATATTACTCTTTGTCCACTGTGTATAGAATTGGAAACAACTTTTATATTTGTGATCTGATTTTTAAAAGTGGGTACTGTAAGAGTGTAAGTAATTTTTCTACTTTCTTGGACTCATATCTCTGAAATTCATTAAAAAGAAAGTCTTCGTATTTTTGTTTCCTCTTTTGGTGCATTAGTTGGCATTTAAATTAATTTCCGTGGAAATTAGAAAAAAAAAAGCTATGTGTGGTGGCACAAATTTTTCTAAACATTTTCACAGTACTATTTTTACCTGTTTTTTAATTTGTTTATTTTGGAGGTAGGTAATAGAGTCATAAAGTCAGATTCGAGAGTTAACTGAGGGACATTCCTGCCCTCCAGCCACACAATTCCCCTCTCAGAGGCACCCTTGTTATCTTCAGCGATATCTTATGTACCTACCAGCAAACATGTATACGTGTATTTACACACACACACAACACGCTTACACATTTTGTTACATAAGTTGTTGCTTCTTGCACACACTATTGCAAACTGTATTTTTTCACTTAAGAATGTAACTCATAATTCTGAGGGCCAGGCGTGGTGGCTCACGCCTCTAATCCTAGCAGTTTGGGAGGCCCAAATGGGAGGATTGCTTGAGGCCAGGAGTTAGAGACCGGTCTAAGCAAGAGTGAGACCCTGTCTCTACAAAAAATAGAAAAATTAGCCGGGCATGGTGGCGCATGCCTGCAGTCCCAGCTGCTCAGGAGGCTGAGGCAGGAGGATCACTTGAGCCCAGGAGTTTGAGGTTGCTGTGAGCTATGATGATGCCACTGCACTCTAACCTGGGCAGCAGAGTGAGACACTGTCTCAAAAGAAAAAAGTGTAACTTTGAGAGCGGCCCTTGCTAGTACATAAAGAATTTCCTTTTTCTTTTTATGGCTGCAGAGTATTCCATTGTATGTGTATAATAATACAGATACTTATATAACTTATTTAACTTAACAAGTTATTTAACAAGTTAAATAACTTATTTAACTTGTCCTTCTTGATGGACAGTTAGGTTTCTCATCTTTTTCTATTTCAAGTGATACTGCTATTGATAAGTGTACAAAGTGATTTGCATGTGTGCAAATATCTGTGGGTTTTTTTATATAATCTGATTTTTAATGTAGAATAATATATGTGTTTTATGTATTAATCTTAATAGAATGTTTTAATCCATATGTAATTTCAGGATTGGCTGATAACAGGAAATAATACCAATAATAGTATAAAAATTATTCACAGTCTCATCATTCTCATTTTTAAATGATTTTGTTTGTAACATTTTCCATCAAATTTAATAACACTTCTCTGACTTAAAAGTTTTTGACCAGATTTTTAAAAATTTACTTTCAGTATTCTAACATTAAGTTAATATGAATATTTCTCATTCCTAAATTCAGACTTTAAGGTTAACACAATAAGGAAGGGATAATTCTGAGTTACTGTAGGAACAGTGAACAACCTATCTCTGAGTTGCAGTTTACACATAGTTACAGGGCTACAGGTTTTGTGTTATAAAGGGTTTTGCATAAATGTTGAAGTTTGGCAACGTTTCCCCATTATAATTTTTAACACTTTACTTTTGTGCTCTAGAGTGTGTATTTCTTAACTGCTAATTTCTCAGGGAATCCCACTGATAATTTAGTACTTAAACTGTAGTGATAAAGTATGTCATTGTCAGTGTGCACAGTTGACACCATTGGTATTAGTTAATTTTAATTAGTATTTTTGAATGTTAACTTTGTACCAGCCTATGCTTTACATGCATTATTTTATTAAATTTCACAATATCCAAATAAGATAAGTACAGTTATTCCCATTTTCAGATTGTTCAACTGAGGCTTAGAAAGATTTCCTAACTGGCCCACGGTAGCATAAATAACAGCAGAGCCAGGACTGGAATCCAGATCTTTCTCACTTTAGAACTATAGCCTTGACCATTCTGCTTATTTCTTCTTAGGTAACTGTGGCTGAAAGGATTACTACCATGACCTTCATTCTTTTTGTCCTGTTTCTTCAGCCTAGAACAGTCTTTCTACTCCTCTTCACTTAGTGCTGTAACATCTCAGCTGAGATGTCAATTCCTCCAGAAAAGCCTTCCTTGACCCACTTGTCTGCATCAGCCCCCCTTTTCTAGGCACTCATGTCCTCATGGACCTCTTAATAGCACTTACTCCTGGTTGTAGTTTGACATTTGTTAATCTGAGATGATTTGATTGATAGCCATTCACTTTTTAGATTGTAAACTTTGTGAAGGCAGCAATTGTGTCTGTTTTTGCTTATCATAGTATCATAAAGTATTAAATGCTTATCATGGTATCATAAAGTATTAAGTGCCACAAATACTTCATATTGGAATGAAAGAGAGAAAGGAAAAAGGACCTCTTTTTTTCTCACTATAACTACTGCTGATAACCTTTCATACATTTGTAAATAATGGAATGATAATACATTAGCAATTTTAATAGCGAATCATCTGTTTTAAATCTTCATTAATAAATTGCATAAATTTGTAAAGATTATAGACATGTCAGTGATACACATTCAATTTCCGGAAGAGTTTTGGCAAACACATTATGGGAGCATGTGACAATCAATAATTGAGGTTCTATGGGTTTTTAGAAAATACGTGAAAATTACCATTATGTCTTTGAAGTGCGTATTTTGAGAAAATGAAATGTTTTATATTTTAACTTTTTTCTCTTCCTAGTGTTGAAGGACTCCATGCCATTGTTGTGTCAGATAGAGATGGAGTACCTGTTATTAAAGGTATAACTGAGCACTTAAAATGCAAATGTCGTGTTTGCCTTTGACTAAAAATGTGTGTATTTACATCTGTTTACAAACATGTAAAACTCATTTCAGTAAATTCAGGAGATACTAGTTTTGGGGGAAATGTTTGCTTTTTATGTTGAAGGCTGAATTGGAACCTGTAATATATTAGCTGTCAAATGTATCATGTTAACATCTAGAGTTTCAGCATGGATTTATCATAGGCCCAGTTTCCCAGTGATGACATTTATGGTGTAATATAAACCATTAGTACGTTTAAGCCATGAGAGTGAGTGTGTGTGCAGCTAGATATAGTGTATACACAGACATCCCTACATATTTTTTTATCAACATTGCTAGTAGTTTTTGGATAATACCCACATATTTATGTCATTATGTATTGATTATTTTGTTTAATCTTGCCTGATTTACTGCTTTCTTACTGGAAATAGATTTTTTTTAAACTCTTAACTTCACAGTTACTTTAGTTAACCAGAATCTAACAATTTTTCACCTGATTTTTAGCTTTTTTTTTTTTTTAAGTATATATGATGTCACAAACAGTTGGTATAGATTCAGACCATTTTTACTATTTCTACTTTATGGTATGATCAGAATGGGTGTTCCTAGTTATACTGGGACATTGTAATGGCCTTACCAAATAGTGAAGATTAATTTTCTGTACATTTTGTTTACAATTTATTTTGTACCTGGAGTTGTTACATGTATCAGATAATTTTAGACTTCAGAAATGAAAGGAGGCTTAGAGGTCACTTAATTTCGTTCTTTGATTTTATAAGTGAAGGTGGCCATGTGCAAAAAGTATGTTGCTAGGTCGAAGTGGCACGTGAGTAAGTGACAGCACAGCAGTAGAACCCGTCATCTCCTATGGAATGGCAGAGTGTGCTTGCTGACCCACCGCAGGAGTCGGATGGCCATGGGCCTGACTCCTTATAGGCCTTGTAATGAGCGAGAGAAACATGAAACAGGGAGCCAGCTGCAGGGATATTAATATCTATGAGAGATCTGCTGTCAGTTTCATGAGAACAAAAGTTTTTGTAGCGTTTTTCATTAGTTTATTCTAGCCTGGATCTCAGATAACCAGAATATTCAATTTATTACATGTACTGCTTAATCTATATTTTAAGGTAGATACCAAGGAAATAAAAACATTCAGTATGCTTTTCAAAATAAAAAATACGAGAATCAGCGTTTATTTCCCTAGTTAGGATCACAGAACTTCTCATTGAGCAAATTTTTCGCACCTAAATTGATGAGACCCAGTTAGTGATTTTCAGAATTGTGAAACATAACCTTTGTGCTCAATATTTTTATGGATTTATGTTTTTTTAAAAAGTGCTATAAATCTTCTCCCTACATAAGTTTTATTTAAATCACTTATTTTTACTTAAATCACTTGTTTTTCTAGTGGCCAATGATAATGCTCCAGAACATGCTTTGAGACCTGGTTTCTTATCTACTTTTGCCCTTGCAACAGACCAAGGAAGCAAACTTGGACTTTCAAAAAATAAAAGTATCATCTGTTACTATAACACCTACCAGGTAAGTTCATAATTATCAAATGGTGTGCTGATTTCAACTCTCATTTTTGTGTCTTTTGTATAAAATAGCTTGTGTTATAATTCTAAATTTTAATTTTGAAGGGGGATGAAATTTTAAAATTTTAGCCTTCAGATTAGTTATGTTAAACTATTGTGATTTTTTTTTTTCCCCCACATTTTACACCAGGAAATAATTACTTTGGAAAAATAGTTAAAGATTTAATAATAAAGTATACGTTATCCTAAAAAGGGTAAGTCAGGTCACTGTTACCTCCAGTAGGTGGTGCCCTTAGCTAAACTGTGATTTCTCAAATGACACACATTTTTTGTTGTGTGACAAATAAAAAATTTTCCTTGACAGTCAAATGATAAGTTATTTAAATTTGTTATTGCTGCTAATTCCATCATGTGATTTGAAATGGTATGTATAATAAGGGAGATTATTATTTGCGGGGAAGAAATTTGTAGTTACATATTTCTTGATCTCTACCTGCATTTTCTTCTTAAGAATAAATTAATCCCTTCTGCTTTAGAGTGATGTTTCCTACATGATTCATTGATGTACCGCTGGTAATACACAAGTGATATTTTTTATTTTAAAAATTATGTATTTTAGTGTATGTTAGGTAAAAGATAACCAACTCATCTGACCTTTAATTTTATCAGTAAAGGATTAAGTTGAAGCTGCGTTTTTTAAAGGTAGTTGACTTAAAGTTAATTTGAATTTAAATTAATTTAAGTTGCAGTGATATAGGAGTCAGAAAATATGAAGATAAAACTACTTGAATGACTAAGAAATACTGCCTTTAGTCATTTAATTATCAACTATTTATTGAGCCCCTACTAGGTAATTGACATTCTGCTGAGCTTTAGAGACAGAAAGATGAAGACATGGTGTTACCTTAAAAACTATTCAGGCTAAGTGGAATTAATGTCTCTAATGGTTATCAGTAACTGTTTTATGGAAATATTTATTTTCAGCTCTTACATATTTTATGATGTAATACTATGTTGTTAGACTAGTAGCATTGACTAATTTAAAAAGTTGTGAAAGATTAAGACATTTTAGTTGAGTTATACTACCTTTTCATAATGTAACATTATTTAGGTCTTATTTTCTTTTTAGGTGGTTCAATTTAATCGTTTACCTTTGGTGGTGAGTTTCATAGCCAGCAGCAATGCCAATACAGGTATGTTTTAATTAGCTCACAGCTTCCAATTCTTATATATTTTTAATTTAATTACCATGTCTTAATTCAGTTTAACTTGATTTAGTTACTGTATCTGTGTGCTCTAATATAATAGGAATAGTAGATTTAGAGTTAGAATACTTAAATTTGTGGTCCTATTTCACCATCGTTTTTGCTTGATCTTGGGAAATATGATTTTTTTCTGGATTCTAGTTTTCATATCTGTATAACGGAGCTAATATCTGCTTCCTCCATCTTATGGGGTTATTTTCTAGTTCAGATGAGATAGTATATGGGTAAGTGATTTTTTTGAGATAGAAAGAAAAATTAAATGTTATCTTAAGTGATACATCTTGCTCACATTAAAGCAGTTTAAGAAAAAAAAAAGGGAAAAGAAAATAACCAAACAAAATGCATAAAATGATCAAGGATGAGTTGAATTCTATATAGACCAATGTATTAAATTAGAATTTTTAAAATTTTGCATAATGGGCAAGATGAATGTGAGCATTTAAAGAGCATGAATAGGGTGAACATACATTCTTGAGGGCTGAGGAATTTCAGAATAAATGCTAGGATAGTGAGTAGTAACATTCCATTATATCCAATACCTTTCACTGGATATTTATGTGTAAAATAGTGACGATATTCAGTTGGATTGTAGTTTTTTTACTCCCTTTTGGATAAAGTAGGATTATTTTTTTTTTTGAAACATCTGCCTCCAGATTTAATTGCTGTCGAGAATTGTTATACATTACTTTTCTTGTTTTCCCCCTCCAAGCTGGGCAAGTTCTTCTCGTTTTGTCACTGAAGGCTGTTTTTAGATATCTCATCTTTAGAATGAGAAGAATAGATTTGATCTATTAGGTCTCTTTCATTTCTCAACATTTTAGGAAGCTGTAAAATAATGTGTATGAAAATGCTTTGTAAATTGTATAGGATAGTAGTGATGTCAATATTTTAAGTATACTAAACCTCAATTTTGATAAATTACCAATCATCACATAGTAAGTCATCAGTTATATATTGTGATAATGTACAGAATTGAAGTGAAGTACTTAGAACCTTTCCTTGAGAGTCACATGCTTTTAATAGTCTGTAAGAAGAAAATTTTTATTTGTTTGATCATAAAATAGGCATTAAGGTATATAGCCTTTCACTCTGGTAAACTAAGGAGAGAAGCTAGATATGCTAATTTCTAGATGAGCTTGTCTCCCAGATTCACCACTGAACTTCTTTTTAAACATGTAAGTGTGTTTTATACTCTGCCATTTATCTTTTAAATATTTTTTCATTTGAAATACTCATTTATGAATTTATAACATAAATTTGTTGAATTTATAAAATTTTGATTACTTTGCTTAGTATTGAAGCAGCCTGTTTACCTATCCTTTGATATAATCTGCTAAAATTTGCTCAGGAAAAAAAGCATGCCTTATTTAGTAAAAAGTATAATATATATAATTTCTGAATCAATGCATATTTTGAAACAACATAAATTAAGATTTTCCTTTGAAAGCTCTAACAAATTATAGTGTATATAATTTATTCTGTATACTAATACATGTATTTTTCATCCATTGACTTAAATAACAGATAGTGAAAATAAACTTTATAATGATTACAGAATTTTTGGTTACTTTATTCAGGATTACAATACAGACTGAGCGGCCCTAATCTGAAGGTCTGAAATCTGAAATGTTCCAAAATCTGAAACTTTGAGCACCAACATGACATTCAAAGGAAATGTTCATTGGGCCATTTTGGATTTTGGATTTTCAGAATAGGGATACTCAGTCCCTATGTATTCTTCAAATATTCAAAAGCCTGAAACACTTCTGGTCCCAAGGATTTTGGGTAAAGAGGTATTCAGCCTGTACATTTTTTCTTTCTTTTTTTTTTAGTTGCAGGAAGTAAACTATGATTTACTTTTTGGTAATTATAAATTTTGTACAAGAGAGAACTTAAGTTGAAGACTTTCAGAAACATTTTTCTAACAGTCTAATTTTCTTAATCTCTTTGTTTTAGGACTAATTGTCAGCCTAGAAAAGGAACTTGCTCCATTATTTAAAGAACTGACACGAGTTGTGGAAGTTTCTTAACCTGACAGTGGTTTTGATGTGTACCTTATCTTCATTATAGCAACACAATATCAATCCAGCAGTCTTTAGAACACAGGAATACTTGTATCCACGTGCTCAAGAAAGGTCCCCTTTTTCCACCTTCTGCTAAAGAAAGAGCCTGTAGATGTAATTTATAGACAGATCGGTTGTTACATTTTCTCCTGTTGGGTCTTTTCTTATGTAGTGAGATCTGGGAATACCACAAAAATGGTTCAGTCTATCACAGCTCCCATGGAGTTAGCCCAGTCACCAGACATGGATGAGATTCTAGTCAGTGGATCAGAATCAAAATGGTACATTGATCCACTGGAGCCATTGAGTGTTCCCTGTTGTACAGTATGCCCAGGTCTGCAGAATGAAGCAGACTCTTTTTATTGTGAATAATGATAAGGACATATTTTTCTTCCGATTATGTTTTATTTCTTTGCATTGAGTGTGAGGAAGATAAAATGACTTAGTAAAAGTAATAAAATCAGTACAATCACTAACTTTCCTTTGTACATATTATTTTACAGTATAGGGGAATATTACTAATTGATTCTTTTCAGAGGGTGCTGCTCTTTAATGAAAATGAAAATTGTGGCTAATGGTTTTTCCCCCAACTCTGCTTTCTATAACGAATCAGTGTTTTAATGTTTGTGTGTTCTTTATGAAATTTAAATATGGTTTGTTATTGAATTCTGTTTCCAGTATCAGTATGTATGTAAACATGATAGTGTAGCCAGTTTTTTCATACATGAGTATAAATAAAATAGTATTTTTAAAAATATAATTTTGAGCACTACATAGCTCTTTTTTTTTTCCAGATTTTCCCAAAAGTTTAAAGAACATAATTAACTTAATTCATTGTTTCAACTCCATGAATAAAGAGTGAGTGTCTCTTGTAGGTGCTGGTTTGGAGATTGTTTTACCTAATATAAACTGGCAATTAGAAAAGAAAGCTCATCCATAAACCTAATGTAATCTCCGTGAAAGAGTTATAATAGTTCCACGGTGTGCCGTTTATGTTCAGGAATGCAATTCATCATTTAAGGTTGTTTCCTTGTAGGTTGTTTAACAGTCAGTTTGTCACTGGTGTAGTTCAGTACATACGCGTTGAGTACCCGTGTGCCAGTCACCAGAGCTGCGACATCGCAGTTTTAGGAAGCACCATTCACGTATTTCTGTGCTTTGGGGGTTGCCCGTCCCTAGAGTTGTACCATGAGGCATTCGGCCAAGTATTGTGCTGCTTTCCCTTCCCTCTCCCTCCCTCCTTACCATATAAATAAGATATTAAATTGTTGTACCTTCCTTTAAAGAACTTACAATTCAGTAAAGGAAGCAGGGATAGAAAGTGCTGTGATAAAGTTGTACACAGCGTGCTGTAGAATCACCAAATCAGGCCACCTAAAATGGGCAAGACATTCTTTATAGATAGAGATGTAATGTTTTACCTGCAGGGAGCTATAAGTACAGTCATGTACTACATAACATCTCGGTCAGTGATGGACCACATACACGAGAGGGGTAGAGCAATAGGCTATGTCATGTAGCCTAGGTGTGTAGTGGACTGTACCATCTAGGTTTGTGTGAGCACACTCTGTGATGCTCACATGATGATCACATCACCTAAGGAAGCATTTTTCCACGTGTATTCTTGTCATTAAGTGATGCATCATGGTTACAATCTAATGAAACAGTAGACACACCCATTGAAATCTAGAATTCCCATTATCTGGATTGTTATTTAATAGCGTCCAGGAAATTTTTGCCTAATGCAATGATGCATGAAACAATAAAATCTTTTAGAAACGAGGTGGCCAAATTTTTATTTTCAGGTAGTAATAATTGTATATCTTAAAAATCTCAGGAAAAGAAACTGTAATAAATGGAGCCACTTAACCTTTATATGGTGAATACTGCCACTGTTGAAATTTCTGAGGAGGTACAATAAATTATTTCACAGTTCAGCTGGAAAAACAAGCAGGTGAAAATTGCTGAGTTTTGAAAAGGTGGTATAAAACTAGATTAACTATCTTTGAAAGGTCGTATAAAAACTAAGTGCACAACTAGACAGATCAATGGAATATAGACTTACCCAGAAACAGACCGTAATACATACACATGAGGACTTAAAATGGTATAAGATCGCATCATAACTCAGTGGGGAAAAGATCATCCAGGAAGTAGGGCAGTCACTGTGTATGCGCCATTAGTAGCAGTGTAAATTATGATGTCCTCTATGTACAGCAGTTTGGCAATCTCTGTCAAACTTTCAAATGCACATAACCTTTGGCCCTGCAATTCTGCTTCTAGAAATTTATCCTACCAGTGCATGTAGATGTGCAAATTTGCATGTTTACAAGCATGTTCTTTGCAACTTGGTAATATCAAAGGATTGGACGCAACCTAAAAAATCTACCATAGGTAGAATGACCATGTGTTGTGGTTTTTCGAACAGTACCGGTTTATACCTTCAGTTCCTGGTGTAATTATTAATAGTGCCCCGTTCACTCTCAGATGTCCCACTATAGATAAGAAATGATATGGTCACCTTAATCTTAGAGAATTGGTGAAATAAATGGCTACATTTGTCCAATGGAAAAAAGAATGAAGAAGTGCTTTAAGTACTGAGATGAAATGATCTCCAAGACATAGTGTTCATTGAAAAAAGCATGGTGTGAAACTGGCATGCTACGATTTATGTATAAGAAGAAAAAATATATACACACTCATATTTGTATTTTGTAGACTGTCTCTGAGGAAATAGATGGAAGAACCTGATGATGACATTGGTAGCCTCCAAGGAATGGAGCCTTGGTACTTGGGAGATAAGGATCCCAGGAGCGAGCCTTTTCACTGTAAAATTCGTTGTACTTTTTGAATTTTTACCAATTAAAAAAAAATTAGAACTAAAGTATTTCAACAAACAAAATTTAAAATGGTGATATATTTGGGGGAGAAGGTTCTATCAGTCAGGATTCTCCAAAGAAACAGAACCAGTATTATAGACACGTATTATTTCAAGGAATCGGTTTATGGAATTGTGGCAACTGGCAAGTCCAAAGTGGGTGGCGTAGACCAGGAGGCTGGAAGGTCTCAGGAGCCGAGGCCAAGGTTGAGGAGCAGAATTTCTTCTTGGAAACCTCAATTTTGTTCATAACGCCTTTCAGCTGATTGGATGAGTCTTACCCACATTGTGGAGGATTATTTCTTTTTCTTAAATTCAAGGGACTATAGATGTTTAGCACATCTACAAAATACCTTCATAGCAACACCTGGATTCACGTTTGAATAACGGTACTGTGTCCAGCCAAGTGGACACACAAAACTAACCTGCACTGTCCTGCCCTAGTCAGCCTGGCACCCATTTGCATCTCCTAAAGCGACATTTTAATCTCCAATAGGAACAGTAACTAGGTTGTACTTCTAATGTCATACAACTACCCTGTGTACAACCAAGACTATTCCCCAGAAGAGAGAGGATTCCCCAAAAGAGGATGTAGAGTCCTTGGATGTTGTTCACTTTTCTCCTTACTATCCTGTACCTTAAATATTGTGATGTAAGGTTAACTACTATTGATACATCTCACGTCAGATAATGAGAGGATGAGGAAGGGAAGACAAAGGTACTTGTTCAATGTGTGTGTGATATGTACAAATCTGTGTATGTATGTGCACAAACAATAATAAAGTAATCACAGCCCTGGTTTTTCCACCTGGACCTGTGGTTTATAGCTGGTATTAATTACTACCTTTCATTACCTGTTCCATATTCCCTTTGCTCTCAGCAAGCACCTTGGCTGTCTGTGACTCTGCCTGGCGAGGTCATCCAAACCTTCATTCCCGAAGAGTCTGAGCCCTTGGTCGTCCTGCCTGAACTGGGTTTTGTAGGTTAACGCTGACTTTAATCCCAGGGCGTGGCAGCGCTAAGATGCCTGGTGGATCTGCTGTTTCCTAGTCATGCTCATCCTTCCATGCGCAGTAGCAGCCCAGTTTCCCCAGGTCATCGGGACCGGTCACTGCAGCCAGCACCGTCCTTTCTCCATCTGTCCATTCAGAGGAATGAGAAGCCCAGAGTGGCAGGGTAGCGATCAGTGTCCAGTTTAACAGAATCGTGTTTGCTGGTGGAGGCCTTACTCTTGGGAATAAAAACTTCTAGACCCGAAGAGCATAAGGACATGCGGTCGGAAAGCAAAAATTGCGTTAGTGGATGACAAAGGATAATAATGGTGCCACTCCCATTTCCACCGTTGATCACTGGACTTGTGAATCCTGCCTGTGGAAGAAGGAGCACCACACACCGGGTGCCGATTTGTAGTGTGTGGCCTCCTGGAGAGCAGTCGCCCAGCCCTGCAGGGTGTCCCCACCTCGCTAGTGCTGTCACTGTCTTCCAAAGGCCGTTCCACCTTCCGATCAGGCCAGCTGCTTCGGGATGATGGGAACGTGGTAAGACCCATGAATTCCATGAGCAATATGAGAAATAGTGTTGCTCCCCAAATCCAAAGAGCCTCATTAGATAGTGTGCCTCCTTTTTGGTTGTGAGAGGGAGAGACCCAGCAAATTGCCTTTTACCTGAGAAGAGATGCCTTGACAGGCCCCACACCATTGGCCTCCTAGACATTTCAGTGAGCTGTAAGGCACTTGAATTTTTGTCAAATTTATTTCCCACCCTCTGAGACACAAATATCCTACCAATATGTCTAGGGTAGTTGCTACCTCTTTTTCATTGGCTCCAATGGCATATTGTCATCAGTGTTACGGACCAGTGTGATGTATTGTGGGAGGAACCTGGGGACCAAATCGTGACACGTGGCTGCAGAGTCGATAGCCCCCGGAGGTGGGAAGTGAAGGTGCGTTTTTGGCTTTAACAGCTGAACACATGGCTGCGTCTGGCGGTCTTTACTAACAGACATAAGGAAAAAGTGTTTGCCAGAGCAGTAGCTGCATACCAGGTGCCAGGGGACGTGGTAATTTTCTCAAGCGATGAAATCACATTGCGAACAACAGCAGCTGCGATTGGAGTCACCACCTTGGTAAGTTTGTGACAAGCCACCGTCCTTCTCCAAGAGCCACCTGTTTTATGCACAGGCCAGATAGGTAGGCTGCATGGAGATGTGGCGGAATCACCGCCCCTGCATTCCTCAACTCCTGTTGGTGACACTAATCTCAGAAATCCCTGCAGGAACGCAGCATTGCTCTTGGTTCAGTCTTCCCAGGTAGAGGCGGTTCTAGTGGCTTCTACCTGCCCTTTCCTACCGTAATAGTCCTCACTCCGCAGGTCAGAGAACCAATGCAGGGATTCTCCCAGTTGCGGAGTACAGGCAGACCTCATTTATTAAGGATTTCTGCAGTTGGCTTTAAAAT